TGAATCGGAATATCTTTCATTCGGGAAAGTAACCTGCTGTGCATGTCAGTAGATTTTAATCTCACTGATGGCTTGGTCACAGTAGCCATACATCAGTGCCACACTCTTGTCTTTGTGCTGCTCGGTTTTTGTATTTGTGTGTTTTTGTAAGTTGCGTGTTGTGTGCCAGCATGGAAGACCAGTGTCGTTGAGCAGACTGGTTCAGCTATTATTAGCGAAGATGGTGCTTCTGCCTCATACATAAACGTCCCACACAAACATTATCTCTGCACTGTCCAGCCCTGTTTTTAATTGTCTGCACAATTAGCCACTCTTGTGCCTCAAGCAGGTATAAAAATGAATGAATGTTCTCTTGGGCAGTTTGGACAGAAGGGACTCACACCTGCCCCTCACACGGTTCTCTTGGGCAGTTGGACTGGGTGCGTCTCAGGGGGATAATGAGAAGTTGTTTCAGGGCTACAGCAATGTACTAATTTTCTCTTCCTTTCCCAGAATGGTTTTAGGCCTCATCACACCCACATCTCCGCTGTGTTCAAGGTTAGACACCATTCTCTGAAACAGGATTTTCAGAGTCGTTAAATACATTTAGATCCTAGACATTTTGTGTTCTGTCCTGCGAACTCTTAGAATGCCTGTTGCATCCAATCAGTCATAATACATGGCAATAACATGTCAAAGTGTTTCTTCAGGAAGAAATGGTCAGCCACCTCGATTATGAAATACATCAATAGTCTTTCGGAATATAAAGCACAGTCTAGGAGAACACAAAAAGACAGTCCTGCCCCACAGTCCTTGCTTTGCTTCAGTTTCTTATCAGTTAGCTCAGAGCACATGCTGACAAATTTGTAGTAAATGGCATTCCAGGAATTTGCACGTGTGTCTCCTGTTAGTGTCTGTTGACTATTTTCTCCTGAAGCATAGTCACTAGACTAAACAGTGGTAAAGGACAATGCTCTTATCATTAATTAGCAATCAGAATAATATGTTAAAGCACTGTTTTCTAACTTATAGTGTCACACTTCTCTGGAACTTCAGTTTGTCAGTACAATGTGGCTTTGGTCAATTTTCTGCCCAAGTCACGGCCGAGGCAGGGTGTTATGGGACAGGTGCACTCTGGAGAAGACGAGCTGGGGAAACCACAGTAATAACATCCTGTCTCCTTCCGGAACCTCGGGTTCCAGTGTCAGAACCTGGGGAAGCTGACGACTGTCCAGATCGGCCATGACAACTCTGGGATTCTTGCCAAGTGGCTGGTGGACTGTGTGATGGTGCGGAACGAAATCACGGGCCACACCTACAGGTAAGACCTCCTGTTGGACACCCAGGGGCGGGGCTCTTGCCTGGGGGGGGGTCCGTCTCCCTCATTTTCCAGAACAGACTCTGCCTCCTTCCTTCAGTCAACTGGATTTCATCTCTGAAATTGAACGGGGGATTCTTGTTGTAGTTGGCATTTTGATGTATTTATTTTTTTCGTCTTTTAAAAATCTGGTTTTCTTTCACCAGATAAGTCACCCGAAAAGAGATTCAGGTTTAAAAAACTGGCCTGGCCCAGAGGCTTACAGACCACTATTACTTGGAAGACATAGTCAAGACAGAAGGAAATGATCAGTAGAGATAAAATACCAGTTAGTGTGGTAATAGTGTGTCCTAATAATACGGCTGTCAGGTAGGATTGACCTGCATTCAAGTTTGGCTGTTGCTCTGTCTCTAGGATAACATATTAAAAACATATCCCAAAATATATATTTTTTAATATGCTCCTTGATT